AATAGCGATACGCGCATATCGTGGGCATATTGCGAGAGAAAGGGAAAGCGTGTCCGTTTTTTGTTACTAGGGGCGAGAAGCTCATGAGCTCCTGAACGCTGGCGTACTGATGGGGGGGGGGGGGGGGGGGGGGTTTATTCGATACCAGTGATTTAAAAATGTTGCTGAAATGATATGATTTTCCGGTTTTTGTTCTCAATTTGCGGGTCAGTCATACCTTTTTATGCGTTTGTTGGAAAATTAAAAATTCCCAAATTTACAGTCGGGCGAAAAATATGCTTATTTAGAATCCTTTATGTCAGGGTCTGCAGAACGGCCGGGCTCGGGGGCTCGAGCCCCCCCTCACTTTTTGGAAAAGTTTGTTACAGAGAAAAAGAAAGGAAGAGAGAGAGAAAAAATAAGTGACCTGCCAATGTCACAAATGAGGTATCAAAATATTTTTTCACATTGCGGCAGACTCGTCGATTCAAGATCATATCCATGAACGCACACTTGATATTCTGTCTGAACTTTGAATTCACGGATAAGGTAGTCTTTCATTTGATTTGCATTATTTGATTAAAATTCAAAAGCACATAAAAAAACCAAGGTTACAAAATTGCTCAATGGGAAATGGGCCAGCAATTTACATTTCATATGCTCATTGCATTTGACAGTTTTTTCCTTCATTTTCTTTCTGTTTTTTTTATTGCTACAATTCAAGTTATGCGCGCGCTTTTTCAACGTTAGGTGTACCTTGTTTAGTGTGCAGTCAGTCAAATTGCACTTCAAAGAGACGCTGACGCAGTATTATGTCACACATGACTCCTCATGTGCAACGGATATGACTTCAGAAAGCGTTAACAACCCTCTGAATCTCTGCAGGTGTCAAACAAATCATAAACATAGCGTTACTTGCATATTCTCAACTTTTTGTTGGTATACTGACCTTTGACCCAATAGTTTTTTCATACGTCATTCCACTATTTCAATCCTATTCAATAAGATTCAGCTCATGCAGCCAGCCGAATAACAATACTCATGAAAGGCTTTGTATAGAAATAGTTGCCTGAATAGTGAAGAAAAAAATTAACAGCTGCACAAATATTTGCCAAGTAGTTGAAACACCGTGTACAAATAACGAACATGCTTGTGTTTAACCAGGGAAGTTGAACATTTCTCATTTTATTACGTTTTATTGTGGAAACGGGGAAAAACGTATCGGCTGCTCTACATTATGTGTTGCCAGATACTTCACAGCATGGATACACAAAATAAGCTCCGCTTTGATGTAGATATGTCAGAAGTTTATAGTTGAATGTATTACAATACACTAATTGTTTGGTTTGCCCCTCGAAAATTTGAAAAATCGCACCCCCCCCCCCTCATTTAACGTCAGGGGGGGGGGGCATATCCAAAAAAAGGTAAGACTTAAAATTAACGTGTTTCTACACTTTTTTTTCCCAGGGGAAATTAGTTTGGGTAATAATTGTTTAGAAACAATGATCAGATAAGAGAAAATGGTGATAAGGTAGTGACTTCAATGATAGATGTACAATTTAATATACTCTGAAAGTTTGAGTAGAAACGGACTGTCATTAATGATAACAATTAGGAAAAACTGATCTGATGGACTCCTTAATTCTCCCAACTACATTATTTCAATTTAATTACATTTTAGGTGGATGTAAATTTTCACAAAGCACTGAATTGGCTTTAAATAAACCAATTTGGTCTGTGCCTTTACTTTTTTCGTCACATTCTCTTTCTCCCTTCTCCCTGTCACTTCTTGTATTTCATTTTTGCAATGCCCTTTTCACCACTCGATGTGTGTGTGAGTTGGGGGGGGGGGGGGATGTTACTATGGATGGAGTTCTGGGGAATACGGGAGGGGGCGATGATAACAAACATGTCGGGAGTTGAAACATCCCTGGTTAAAGTCTCCATTTGGTATTTGGTTTATGTATGTTTTGTCAAAACCGTCCCGAAGAATGTGCGCAAATTCCTCCGAGCATTAATAAGTAGATCATTAATTCGGGGAAATAATGTGTGTACATGAGTTTCAACCTATTCCTTACCACTTTTCCAAGTCTATTTGAGACTGAATACTAATCCGAAAACTATGAAAACAGTTACAGAAGGTGTTTTGCCCTATAATGCCTAACCTTAGGCCTTATATTAGTAAAACTTAAGAACAGAGATGGCTTTCTCTTTATTGCCCTATTTATTGTACATTGGACTCCATTATTAAACAAGTACATACCAGCGGGACGCCCCAACCGACACCACGCCGAAGTCACACCGGCTGAGTCCTGACTATTTGGGATAAACTAATGTGTCTTGGTGGGTGGGTACACAAATAATATGATAAAAGCCGTAGTTAAAGGTCATTGCTTTTTCTTTTGTTTAAACAAAAATATATTTACCTTGTAATTGTATTTTTCTTTTTTCAAATTGTATTTAATATTGTTTTTTTCAAATTGTTAGGGGCCACGTGTACCAGCACAAGTCGCTTATTAGCGGTCATGGCCTACTATGTATTCTGTATTTATGAGTTGTACTTTGATGCCCAATAATTGAAATGATTGTATTTGTTATGGTCAGGTTAGAGCCTCGGGGGGGGGGGGGGGGGGGCTTACAATCCAAACGTGGTTTATTTCTAATTCGATACCAGTGATTTACAAATGTTGCTGAAATGACATGGTTTTTCCCTGTGCATCCGGGGGCTCTGCCCCCTGGACCCCATCAAGGGCCCTAAGACGGCCCCTGGTTGCTCTTCTGACCTTAATTAAATGCCTAAAAATCCTAAGCTTCCGGGGGCTCCGCCACCTGGATGCTCATCTGACCCTTCTTAAATGCCTAAAACCAGCGGGCTTCATGGGGCTTACGCCCTTGGACCCCACGCCAATTTACGCTCCACGCTTCGCTCTACCTGATCGAAAATATGTTAGCCCCCCCCCCTCCCCCCCCCCCCCCCCCTGTTAGCAGTCTCGTCAGACTGACTGTGGTGTAAGTGAGACTTTGATCGACTGGGACTCTGATAAAATCTCCTCTATGCTTTTGCCATACACAATAGTTTTCCACCCACCTAATGAAAATATGAGTGAGTGGAAATCCCCAGTTATTGAACGTGCAATACTGTTGGGATAACAATACGAAGCGTGCAAGAGGAACATATTGTATCTCATTTCACCCAGAGGCAGCAGGCCGTAAACGTGGGTTAAGTTGCCTAGTTAGCTAATTATCGTTTTAATCTAATTTTATTTAAATGTCTACAGTCTCCACAGGGGACATTGTGGTTAACTTATAATATAGGTTTTTAAGAATGATGATCATCACGATCTCATTTTTTTCATGCGTGGCTCGTAAATGCTTTTCTAACCAGCTTTCAAAAGAGTTACCCCGGAGTTACCCATGTCTTTACCGTTTAGTAGGCAAGAGCATTGTCCCTTAAAACTGCCACTAGCACCATGAAACAGATGACTGCACGTTGCTCAATGGTATCCATTGATATAAGTCATTTGTTCAAGTCCCATGTACTCCGATTTTAACGGCTGCTCTAATAACTTGGTGAGGTGCTGCTGAACATAAGCTGTGTCACCTGGAATGGAAAAGATTATATTTTTGTAGGACATAATAACGTCAGCCAGGGGCGGATCAAGCCGGCGACAAGGGGGGGGGGGGGAGGGGCAATTCGTGAGAAAATATTAAGCTGCGAATCGGCTAGCCAGCAAATAACCGGAAGGGGGGGGGGTGGGGGGTTAGAGGACTTTTTGCTTTTTAATAATTAAATCCAAATTTGGCCGGGGGGAGGGGGGGAGGGGGAGGGGGGGGGGGAGCCCGTTAACCATTTTAATCGTTCACCTGTTTTTTCGAGGGGTGCTACTTCATATTCTGTCTCAACTCTTAATTCACGGATGAGGTTGTCTTTCACTTGATTTTCTATATTCGCTTGAAATTCAAAAAGACATATGACAAAAATCGAGGACACAAACTTACGGTTAACATTATATAATTGAACAAATGAAACGTTTATATAAACAAACATAATTCCGTTATATTTCAAAGATGAAAGACTTTCAGGGGGAGAAGCAAAAAATATCAATGATAGGTTTGCAAGTAAATATATTAAACATCGAGAATCTCGTTTAAACATTCATCCCCACCCCCCCCCCCGATATCCCAGTCAGGAGGCAAGCGTCACCATCCATGCCACTGCGCATACCCAAGACAACGCACACAAACACATAGTTACACACTCAGGAAAACACACACAATGACTCATACACGTACAAGCTCCCATCCGTATAAAATCCCCGTGCAGAGGATCATATATGTTATCTAATTTCACCTAGAGGCAGCAGGCAGTGGACGTTAGTAAGTGGGATAGTTAGCTAATTATACTAGAAAACATGTCTACAATCTCCACAGGCGACATTGTGATCAACTCATGATATGGATATTAAGAATGATGAATTTATTATCATCACAATCTCAATATTTTTATGCGTGGGTTTTAAGCGCTTTCCCAACCAGCTTTCACCCCTAGAAATACAAGCTACCATGCGACTGCCCTTTTTTCAAGAAAGAAAGGCAGTTAAATTTCGATCGACAGTTTGTTGTGAGCAACTCTAGCACATTTCACATGGGCAAATTATTTAATAGATCTAGTGTTAAACGATTAAGAAAACTCGTAAGATTCATAGCAGTAATAATATATACAATTATTTTCCTTTGTTCCTAAGGCTGAAAGGCATTGTCCTATATTTGTCAATAAATGGCAGTTACTCGTAGTGGTAGACAAACCCAACCACGTGATATTTTAGACTTATAACTATAACTCGTATATTATACAAATGATACACATCAGTGAGGGCATTATTAAGAATTACCCACACAAGGTACCTTTGGAACAGTCCGAGGCGACAATCTTAAGCCTGATTACTACATGTATCATAATTAAGTACACGTGATATTTTTTTTATTGAATTTACAGCATTATACTATACTCCGTTTGCAAAATGAGTCGCAACTCCAACGAAGATTTTGACGATATTTTAATGAAGATAGCTAAGCAAATCTACGGAAAAGTAGTTGTCGATGCTTTAGGAAAGGATCTAGGATTCATGCCTGCAGATACCGCTCGCTACAATGATGAAAACGCACAACAAGGGGGCTCATACATGGGCACTTTGAATATGCTTCGAAAATGGCGTCAAGGGCAAAAGAAGGCTAAGCAAAGGGAGATTTTGAAAGCTGCCCTGGAAAAAAACGGCTTCGAAGAAATGGCAGAAGAATACTTATCTGCTGACGATGTGGGTATGTAATAATGTTTAAGTGTCAATTAAAACAATTTTTTAATGCATACTAACTTGACTATTGTTAACAATTTAGAATAAAATAGCATTTGTACTCCGTCAGAAATCAGTGATAACTCGATTTAATTTATGGACAATTCCAAGCGTTACGGAATGAAGTTTCCAGACAATTGTCTATTTTTACTTAATATTATCGTAGTTAATTTCAAAATGATATGATATATAAACTAATATGAAATATTTTCAGAATACAAAATACTTCTTCTCACCTTCAAATGTATCCACGGTGTGGCTTCTCCCTACCTTCCTGAACTCATATCTATCAGGCTTACGTTACCTAAACCTACATCTGTGCGTGCCCAGCTGTATCTGAAATACCTTCACAAAATATTTCAAACCTTACCTGTTCTGTTAACAATATAACCCTAAAGCACATTTGAAAAAGTTATATTGAAAAGGCAATATATGAATAGATTATAAATAAAGCTATAAAAAGTGCTGTATTTATCCATGTGTTAATAGAAAAATTAGCTGTTGTGAAAATACCTCATAATAATTTTAAATATAATGACATTAAGTTATACATGTTTATTAAATCGCAACGCTTGGAAAAGACCTGATGTATTAAATGTTCTCTGGCGGCATAATTCACATTTATTTTAGAGCACTGTTCATTACAGGGTTCATATATTGAAGGTTATGCTATACCAGATGTGCCTTTGCAAAATATGCTTCCTCTCTGAAAATGTTCACCATGTTCTTTATAGGAAGGATTTACTTGCGACCATTTTGATTCAATCTCCAAATTTTGCGTAATCCTATCGATTGTTCATATTGACTTACAAGATATGGGACGGACTGAATGTGATAGCCCTGAATATTCTCTTAATCAGCAAGTTCATTTCCGCACTGTAAAAATACATAATTTCATATTTTAATTTGGACATTTTTCAACATCTCTGTGAAGATAATAATTCAATAACATGGAAAAGCTGGGATTCAAACAGCAGTGCCGCCTACATTAATAATTCCGTACCTTCTCCTTATTAAGTACCTTCTCCTTATGAATAAATGAAGGCATGAATATTTTGCTAATATTGTTACATTTCCTTTGGAATGTATTAGCTACCTAAGTAAATCCTGACTTCCCCTACTTTTCGTATTCAAAGGGCAAGACACAAAACACACTACGGCAGCTTTAGCGGGGCAAGGAGCAAGCTCCCGTTATCAAGAGAGGTATGTAGTATCCCAATTACAAATAATTTATTATCACTGTTTCTCAAATTGTATAGGAGAAGTGTATACGGATCAGTTTCAATCCCATCATAACCATGTATTATTGCCTAAATAGTTATCATAGGATATACTATGTATACTTTAACTTCTTAATAATGATTTGAAAGGTTGACGAAGTCTTAGTGTTTTCTAAAGATATATCTCAATGTTCCCAAAGTCAGAATGAATTTCACATAACCATAAATTAGTCGACACAGCACACTGCTAAAGCACCATGTTGTGAATGACGTACTAACCAACTCTTTTTCAACCGACTCATATTTCAAACTTCATTTAAAACGTTGAGTCGCTCAGATGATGAAAATATAAAAATTTTAATAATTAGTTTGCACAATAAATCTAGCAAATTCCCAGTGTAAAGTCGCGTTTCGCGATGTCCCATGAAAAAAATGTATTTTCCTCGGAAATTGAAATTGTTTCCATTCATACATTAAGTCGTCTAAAATCATGCCAATATCCTAGACTGAGATAAAGGGCCTTTGTAAAATCTAAAATTGATATTCGGAAAATATGACATAAACGACATGAAGTGATATTCCATGTGATTGTCCGTTTGGCAAAATCGATTAAATTAATACATTATGGATAAGCTATGGGAAGGGATGAGGCTAAACCCTTGGAATTTAATCGTAGATATTTAACCAAAATTATTTTAAAAACTAAGGTTTAACATTTCCCCTGAATGGTGATTTAAGTTTTCTATGATCTTACTTGCAAATCAAAATTCTAGGAAATTAAGACAACGTTAAATAAATGGAATCGCAGGCCTTTAACCTTTTATGGAAAGGTAACCATTATTGCGTTTCTTGTTTCACCAAAATGTATTTACTAACTTTGTATTTTTCCTGATACCCCTTTATCATTCTTCTTGGAAATTCAGAAAGTGTTATTTCAATTTGTATGGAGTAATAGGAAGGAAAACAATTAGTCTCTCTTTACCTTGCAATGAAAATAGAGAAGGATGACTTGAAATGCCCCGTCTATTATCGTTTAACCATTCAATGAAAGTTACTTGGATACAGAGAAACTTTGATGAGGGAAACAAAACTAAATTGAAAATGTTATTTGCACATTCTCACATGGAAACTTTGGAAAAGTTTTTTTTCGCTAAACTATGTTGATTCCTTATTTAAATATTTCTGTAAACTTAAACAAAAATCTAATATTGCGTACGCTATTTTCTCAGAACAATTTTAAGTTAAAATCTCAGATACAAATCCACAAAATAAATTGCAAATTTGAATTACAATATTTTTAAACAATTCAGAAATTTTAGAATCCAGTGTTACGTTACAAAAAGGTTCACTAATAGATAATAACAAATTACAGAGTATCCAATTCAAACCTATTCATAGAAAAATGGCAACATAAATTTGTGTTTATAATATAGGTGCAAGCACTTCTTCAATAGGTGCATTTCATAAACGGACGTTACCTCATTTTTTCATAAAATTGGAAAAACTACGATATATTTTCATGGTTAAAAAAAAAAGTTTTGTTGGTATTGTCATCATTAATCATTTCTGTTATGTCAGTAACAGTTATTATCTTTGCAAAATATTTCACATGCACTAGCAAAATGCAAACATTATTTCACTATATCCTTCTTTTCTACAAGCTCTTAAACATTGAGAAAAATTACATGTCTAATTGTTTTCAACAAAAATCGTCTCGATCTTCATAATAAGAAATGGCAGATATTTTGTTAAGTGATTTTGTTGATGAGTTGCCATAGAACAATACATTTTATTATATATTCTTTGTCTACACAAAAATCTTGTCATTATGTATGGCAATTGCCTTAATGAATACTTTGACAAAAACATTACAAAAAAAAGATCATTTATTAACTTATTTATCAACATAAAATTTCGATAATGATCTTTTCAAATTCAACAGAACATAACATTACATTAACACAATTAAGAGAACAAATGCATACAGGGGTAGTTGCTGGTTCTTGAACATTTTTTTGTTTTCATTTGCACAATTTTGCAAGAAAATTATACATTTTAATTTGTTTTGCTCTTTACAATAACAGGAAGACCATGTAGAGGTACAGCTCTATTGATCATAACGTTGTTTATAAACATAGATATATCTACCGTTCAGTGTTTTTGGGTTATACAAACTTTCGAGAATAATCAGGCCCTAAATCACGAAGTGAAACGTTTGTTAAAACCACCCCTCTCATTAGCGATAAGAGAGATGTTGGGTTGAGTTTACCCGACACTTTATGAAAAACCAGAAACAAATGTACGAAAACTCTGGTCTTGACCCGAGACTTTCTAGTTCGTATCAAGGCTAGACGCTTTGTCGTTGTATTGGCTTTTTCTCACAGAAATTCACCAAAAATATCAACGATTTCTTAACAAATTATTGATAATTTACCCGAAATTCCTGAATACGGAGGTCTGTTTTCACAAAAGTACGTGTAACCCGACACCCCACCTGAAGGGAATATCCAATGGAACGAAACAGGCTCTACGTTTCTCGTTTAATTATATATGAATGTCTTATGTCTTAGTAGCCAGTGAAGTGATGATAGTACCATAACAAACAAAAAATCAACTCACGTGAATATCAAAAACTAATTTAGCCACCTTGAGATCGAACTTTTACTCACTAAAACAAATACTTAAAATATAAATAATGTGACTTCGGTGATTATGAGTTATGTATCCGATTTTGTGATTGAAAACAAAAGTAAAATGTTGGTGATCAATCTAAGTGCAGACTTTATATAAGATTAAAAATCTGATCTTAAAAGAATATTATTTTACATAATAATCGGCCTTTATTCATTCAAGTTTTTAATTCAGGTATATAAATATATATTGTAGGTCAACCAACAGAGAAGTAACAAAAAAGGAGATCGTCAAGTTATCCAAACTTCTACCCGATGGAAAGTACAGCGAGCTGTGCGGAATCTTAGGATTCGAATACAACTACATAAAGAAAATAAAGAAGAACAATTTCATGGACTCCACGGCTGCTTTCGAAGAACTATTGCATGAATGGAAAGACAAGGCTGGATCCATTGAAGATCTCGATGCAGCTTTAAAAGAAGCAGAACTTGGAGGACTTGTATCTGCATACAAGAACTAGTCATGGCAAAGAGGGTGTACGACACTTGCTCCTGCGACAAATGGTCCGCGTCAATTTTCTAAACTGACCGAATTCCGAACTTCGACTCTGGACCAAAAACTATACCTAACCCCAACCCTATACCTTTACCTTTGATTAAATAAAGCAGTAGACTTTTTTGATTTTGTAGTCAAATCTAATGCGTACATTCTTGGTTAGTGCCACATAATTATTTCATCCACCTGTTACAAATAATTGTTGTTCAATAGAAAGAATGCTAATTGCTAATTACAATTATTACAGGTAGGACATAATGGCTTGTCCTTCCTAACATCGTGGAATTTTGCGATTCGCACTAATACTATTGAAATACAATTATTTGTAAATATGTATTAAATATTTTGTTAGCTGGCTCTTAACAATAATGTGTGCGTTAAATATGACTACATTACGAAAATGGTATATTATCGAGGGAGCATGTGTCGAGTCACCAGATATGATTTAAACATAAGTCACCACTATTACATTTGACTTATGAAATCACAGCAGCAATTGCTTTCTTTCAGTAATAAGTATTCGATTTGTAAATATTGTTCCAGTTGGTTAACCAAGATACACAATTGTAAACGGTTTATCCATTTAATTGGCTAGCGCTGTTGCTTTTCACGGATGAATCATTTTCTATTGAATTGATGGTTACTTCTTTTAAATGTTTCTTATATTGTTATCTCTCATCGGAGTCCATCGTTTATCTTTGTGTAATAATGATGGAAATGAATTTAAACAAAACATGTTAAAAGTGTAAATGAAATTTAAATGATTAATGTGGATAAACGTAAAATGAATCAAAAATTATCATAATCAATATTGCTGAAATATGTATTGTACTTAAAATGTAATTAAATACCTCGTTAAAATATCTACAATGCAATCATTTGGCAGTGTCTGGGTGATTGATTATCTTAGTGTCATCACCTGGAAAAAAAAGGGGGGGGGGTGGAAATTAACAATGAGATAAACAAAGAAAATAGAAAGTAAATAAAGGTGAAATTCGTTAGCAAATCTGCTACACTGAAGTAATCTTTGGAGGAAAGTAAGAACATTCAGAAAGAGAGATCATTAGTCCTTAAGTCACTATGTCGAATAATGCAAATACGTGTGCAGGACTGAATGATATGAGTATGAGTGGTCTTCTACCTCCTCTTGCTCTCTCTTTAATCCTTCCACTCTCTTTCCCTACCCCTACTTTCTCTATTCAGACTTCTGGATTCAATTTCTTAATATTCATCTCTCCATTCCTCTCTACCTCTCCTCCATATCGACCATCTCCCTTATTCTTTTTTTCCATTTTTCTTTAAACTTCAGGTAACATAAGAAATAATTTGAAATATGAAATGTAACAGCCTATTTGAGAATGTTATTCAGTGTAATTTCACCAATGTTATTGATTGGTGTACTTTATTATTTTTATTTTGGCATAAGGAGTAATTATTGGTACTTCTTGCCATTTTTATTGATGTGCATATATTCTCAATACTATATTTTGTGAAATAATGTTGATATTGTTGATGTTTTTTATCGTAATTAAAAGGAAACCGATTAAATCTATACAGAAATATACAAAAGATACTTCAAAATTTGATTTAAAAAAATGATCCAAGATGCAGAAGAAATTGGGAACAAAATATTTCAGATTTGCAAGTATAACATCCTAAACCACAACCCGCGTATATACATGTGGAGGTTTCGTGACATAGTGTTTAATTTACTTGATTCCCAATCCAAGAGTCGAGGTTCGAATTCCAGCCCGGTATAAACGTCTTTTGGCAAGACATCAATGAAGAGCAGTAGTCATGTCAATTAGTCATGTGGTAACCCCGGGTACACTACACCCTAATAAGGACCATTTGCAAGGAGTTCATTTTATATATTCTTGAATCATAACTTCATTGAGAGTATTTTATGAAATTAAGTATAATAGAGATTAATAATGGCTCGTACAAGAAAATTATTAGTCCGTTAATTTTGTATAATCATGTTTAGCCAACAACTGATTTGTTCATATCCTTCTCAAGTTTGAGATATAGAAATATTTGAGAAATTGATTTGTCCCTGAGAATATGACATGATGAATCATACATTTAAAAGTATTCAACAAAGGCTCTGGTTTAACAAGCCCATCTTTCATTTTTGAGTTGGAGAAAAAACGGTTTGGATAATTTAGTGATTAACTATATGTATATATAACATATAATTTTTACATATATAAGACGTATTATTACGTCATAACTTTTTTCAACGCACTTCTTCTCACTTTCTGCCTTCTTATTTCTTTGAGATGTAATTATTCGTGTTCTCTCTCTCTCTCTCTCTCTTTGCGCCTTGGCGCAATTTCTTGGGTTAAGATGCGCATAATTTGATGTATTACAGATTTCAAATTAAAATAAAACCATTACCTGGCAAACCCCATAGGGGCGAAAACTAGTAAAATAAAGAAATCCTTTATGAAGAATCACTATTATTTGTGTTGTTGCCTATTTTCTTGAACTCTTAGCAGAACTCGATACTTCATTAAACATACTTATTATACACAAATAGTCATATATATATATAAATATATATATATAAATAGAGTATTAATTGGCATTATTTTGTTAGGTCTAAATTGTTTCCTTTTTTTTTTTAGGAGAAAGAAATTGCTAAAAAGGATAAATAATTAAATATATATTTGGGTTTCAATGGGTGACACCCCGACATTACTAGGGTTTTCACCAGCATTACTAGTAATTGCGCCACAATACATTTATATTACACAGACGAGTTATTTTATGTGGCATATAACGAGATAAGAATCATAGGTTCTTGGTTTTTTTAAACACATCTTTTGTTCATGCCCTTTCTTTAGTTAGATCTCCTTTAAGTATTGTTAGTCACATCTATGTATGAACATACTGGACAAAAAAGAGTACATGTTTTAAAAGTAGCATTTTATCTCATGTATAAACATTTTATTTCCCAACAGTAAATTCAACGCTCTGATTTATTTCAAATCCGCTCGAACCCCAATCTTCTCAAAAAAACAAAATCAATATTAAGGATAGTGAAATTAAAAATCCAACCAAACCTGTGCAACATCGCACATGGTTAACGATGTGAAAGAAAATTGTAAAAGCTTAGTGATGTAATATCCTCATTGTATAAAAAAAGACACATTGTGATGCTTCGTAGGGCATTGAAAGAATGGCATTGTTTTAATGCTGCTCTAATGTTTTCAAGTTAAATTTATCCATTATAGAATTATGTGTGTAACCATCCGGTATGCATTTACCTCATTTGTTGTTTTACTAGGCGACAGCAGAGGCCAATAACTTAGTTGCAGTAGCAAGTGCTAAGGACAAATACACTAAGGATATGGATCAGGTGAGGACAGTTTGGTAGTACAACAATAGTATCAAGGCTGCTATGTTCACATGCAATGCTGAAAAGTTATTATACTGGTGCCTAGTATTTACTTTTGTCATGCCACAAAAACTCGGTTTAAATATGTTTTGATAAGAATAAAAACTTCTTGGTTGGGTGCATGCTTGCATGTTCATGTATCTTGAGAGTAACGATATGGGTTAATAGCATTACATGATTCCTTTTTAATGGTATATGGCTCGTTCATAAATGACGCGGCAAAAACAGCAGATGATCTTCTTTTTTTGTACGTAAAGTGTAAATAGACATCACATTTCTTTATCTTATAATACAGAGCTCAGTGAATTCATTTACACCTTAAAAGAAAAAAAATTGGCAGCCTTATGCGGCGCTTTACCCACCATATCTCAACAAGCCTTTAAAATGATTTATCTGCAAAAAGCCTTTCCACAATAGTTTTAGCTTTATAGTAAATTAAAGGCATATATACACAGCTCTTTAGTTACAAAAAACATTTGTGGAATGGTCGTTAGTTGCACACAGAGTCTCTCAACACCTACCCCCTACAGGTGTTAATTAATATCGAACCGTGGTCATACCCAGCAATTCCAAATACCATTTGCAAGCTAGCACTCTCATATATATACCAGAAGTCATTCTTCCCTGATTACACCAGGCTTTAGAACTTGCTACTTGCTGGACTTGTCAACTGTTCCTCCGCTGAAGCTTTTAAGCAAGGGAACAACACGTCTATCTTCGTTAGAAGGGGTGAAAGATTGTTTTTAGTTGCACATGGAATATTGTAGAAGGTTTAAAATTTGCACTTAACATTCACAACACCAGACCTGCCTAATAGTACGTGATACACCAGACGACACTGGCGTACTGTTGGGTGGGGGGGGGGGGCGTCGCCCGCCCCCCACCCAACAAATAAAAATAAATTAATCCATGACTTATCTTCAATTCCATAGTCAAGTGATTTATAAATGTTCGTACGTCACATGATTTTCGACAAAATGCGCGTTTCTCCACTTCTGTTGCAAACTGATACATTCCCCAATAACCAGAAAGACCATATGTTTTTGTTATAGTCACTAATGGGCCTTAGTGGCCACTAAAAGTAACACTTGTAAACAATTCCTTTCCAGAAGCTTGGCTGCGACAAGCACTTCCGGAAGATAACATGCTACCCAACACTTAGGCTGTGCATGCACAGATTTGTGAACGAACGTTCCATACGTACATCACGTGTACCGTTAAGAGGCCCAGTGGGATACCTGAGTTTAGACAAGGAGTAAGACTAGAGAGCGGTACAACCAATCGTATTTTTTCTCTAACAATTGAATGAAACGTGAAAGCTTCCACGGTTCACGCGTGAATGGGGGGGGGGGGGGGGGGGAAGACTTCAGACAAGGACACGATACGAATCGTTTTCTTGCTCTAATAATTTGAATAATGAAACGTGAAAGCTTCCGCGCGACAGGGGGGGGGGGGGGACTAAATTAAGACAAGGATTAAGAGTCGAGAACGGTACAATGAATCGTCATAGCTTCTGCGTTTTATGCGGGAGTGGCGAAACAAGAATTAAGAGTCGAGAACGGTACAGCGGATTGTCTTATTTCTCGAAGAATTTAATGAAGTGTCAAAGCTTCCGCGCTTCACACAGAAGAGGGAAAACTGAAAAATGATTTAGTTCCTGGCCCCAGGTTTATAGGGTTAACTTTGTAGACATTGGAAAATTGGCATCAATATGTTTGTTGGTAATTGATGGCTAGTTTTGTCGGTACTCAGGTCTAGCGACGCCCAAGTTAAAAACACAGTTTATACACTCGAGATAAATTTTGCTAGTACTATACAGTATACTAGTGAAGTACCGGACCATCTTCTTTGTGCATTGTGCAGTAACGAAGCATATACAACGTCTCACGACGTGACAGATCCCTTTTCCCTAACTTCTAACCAATCAGAAGGCCTCGTCGGTGGACATTAATGCGCCAAATGTGGTTCTCGAATTCAAAAAGATCCCTCTCTTGGAGGGGGTAGGAGAAAGCAATTTTACGTCATATTACTCCAGGAAGTGCCTGAAAATGCATCTTATGTGCTTCTAAAATTGCAAATGCTTCCTACTCTGGGAGCGGGTCAGAACCCTCTCCCAGACCCACCCCGCTTGGTCGCTCCGGTCCCCCGCCACTAAAGCCTCGCTCTGTCGCTTCATCATTTTACATATATTTCACCCCATGCCATTTTGTGCCCCCGCCCCCAGGTAAGAAATTCCTGGATCTACCACTGATGCCCATATCCCTAAAGCTTCGGGGGCTCCGCCTCTTGACCCCCGGAGGGGCTTTGGCCCTAGAACCTTCTTAAAAAAACGTTCAGCGGGGCCTGCATGTTAGAGTGGGATGATACGGAATTTTTTGTCTGCCCCCCAAAAGATGTTTTTGCTCATTACGCCACTGCCATTTGTTTTTAATAAAAGCAAATTGTGTAAATGTTAAACAATAATGTTTAAATTAATAAGCAGCTGTTGTGATTTCAATATAACTTCACAACTGGGATGTTTAAAGGGAGTTTCTTGTATTTTCAACATTGCTGATTGTCTCAAAGCCCCCGCGTTCGTAAGTAAAAAACACGCGCTTTACTTTTGCTGGAATGTCGGAATTTTTTCTTCACTATATTTGTTTTAATAAACTTTTCTACGATAAAAAGGTATGACAGCCGCTCTCTGGCATTGTCTGCTATGCAAAAACAGACTAAGAAGGTGCAGAATTCGACGTACACTGCCATGTCATCTCCAATATGAACGTCAAAGTAGATGGGGAGTGGATGAATTCACCAATGGCATTTAATCTATGATATAGATGGAACAAGAAGATGAAATTAAAAAAGTTGAAAATAAGCATTCTGCCTACAGTTTTCAAACGCTAGGGGGTTATCAGACAAACAATTAATTAATAAAGAATTAAATTAATTAAGAGATTTCTACCCAAAATGTCACAAACATCTGGAAAAAATTCTTCATTACAAAAAAAAAAAAAAAAAAATTTGACCAAAAAACGAATGATTATACATGATTTTAGCCCCCAAAATGAACATAAAATCTGGGTCGGTCGGTCCCGTAAAACAGGGCTTTTTCAAATCGCCTAAGGAACAATTTATTGATGAAATAACTATTTAAACTTTTAAAAAGATTACTCTTACGGAAATAAATTTTGTTCATCTTGGACCGACTGAAGATTTAAAAGTCCTTGATTCTTGAAATAAAGTCGATACAGTCCAGCTTTTGTTTGATTGTAAATAAATAGATGAAGTCAGTGGAGGCGGGAACTCGGCTTGAAGGTGTGTGAACAGTCAACAGATCATGGACCGCAAGTAGGGTTTTTGTTGGTGAAAATCGAGTTTCGGCTGGGCCCAACTAAAATAGATGTATACCCGATGGGCCTTTTCACCAAGAACCCACAAGTAAAACGGAGCCCACGTGTACGAACGATTTGCCTCATTTGCACAGCTATACGCAGCTTGCTTGGTGATACGTGCGCGCACAATCGCCGCCATTAAAGGCCGGATGTACTAGTTTAGCCGGGCGGGATTAGACCACACAGCGTGGTCATTGAGAAGTAGTTATCTCATCAACTCAGCTCTCAATAAACATAATAAAAAGAAGATCATGGGGGACCAATGGTCACCGATTAGGCACTGCTTTCTATTTAGAGGGAGCAATACGTAGCTACAAGGACAGTGGGGCTTAACAAAAAAAAAAAAATCGACGTCATTACGTTTGACGTCCATGCTTCGATGAAAGGTATTTTAACCAGGCGCGGATCCACGGGAAAGGGGGGGGGGGGAAGCCCCCCCCCCCCCCTTGCCAAAAGATTAAAACAAATATGAAGAAGAAGAAGAAACAAAATTGGTTGAAAAAAATGTTTGTCCCCCCCCCCCTCCCCCTCCCCCTCCCCCATTATTCACCGGCTGGGTGAGTCGCCGCTAAATATTTCCTCAACCGCCGCCATTAAAAAAAAAATTGCCGGGATAACGTCTGGCGTCCGTATTCTGGCACGACCACCCCCCCCCCCCCTTTGCCACAAAAAAAAAAATACAATAAAATATGAAGACAAAAACAGATTCGCTTCCTTTTAAATTTCGCAGGCATAGCTTCTAGCATCTCTAGTTTCTAGTCACTACATTCTTTGATTTTCGAAATCACTTTCGAATGATACCAAATACGTTATGTAACCTCAGAAATATTTGAGTAAATTGCGTTTTAACAAGGGTCAGTATACAAAATCTGCTGAATTTCCGCCAAGTTATAACACGTATCGGCTATGACGTTATTTTTCCGACTGCTTTTCGCCCCCTTCCCGTCCATTTTTTCTTCAAATTTTGCAATGATATTCCGAGTTGCTATACGCAGTGCACCTCGAAGTTGGATTTTTAGAATCGTCAAGGGGGCCAATTGAGACGCCATTTTATACTCTGCATGATTGTGTCAGTATGGGTGGCTGTTTGTGCCACAGCACGCGCCCTCACATTTTCATCATGCACCAAATCCCGATGGTTTTGCACGTAGTGCTTGCGAGCCCTTTCTAGGTCCCTTCCTCTATTACATTCCCTTTAAACTTCGTAGGCATAGTCTCTAGCTTCCCTTCAAGGTCACTGTATTCTCCGTTTTCCCTCATGCTCGACCGCCCAGGCGCCATTTTGTCCGTTTCGGGCCGTTTTGGTGGCCTTTCTTTCGCTCTAGCTATCTCCACTATCACATAAGCTACATACTTCTTAAAAATTGCTCTGGGTAGTCCAAGAGAAGCTCTTTCGTTTATGATACGATTGCATGTCTAGTTATATTCATAATGTTCTTTATTTCGGTATACTATTACATGTTGTTTACGTTTTTTTAAACAGCGTTCTAACTGTGTAATTTCGAATTGTTCTAGAACCTGGTTTTTATACAATGTAAGGCTGAATTCCTAGTTTTATCTGCTGATTTTAATTTTGACAAAGGTTATTAGGAGATATGAGCAGATGGTCGAAACCATTTTGCAAAGCATAACAGTTTAGCCATCCATTCTCAGTCTTATGTCGGGCTATATTTATATCATGTGTGTGATACAGGTATGTGGAAGTGCCAAGCCCTTCCTGAGTCGAAGTATACTAAAGAAGAAACATAATGAAATCAAGGAAGCAGCCATTACTCAGTTCAGAGAAGTACGCAAGATGGGAGGAACAGAGTACAGCCAGGAATATGAGAAGCAACTTTTAGCTTATATCAAGGAGTCTTACGCTCAGTACATCAAACACAACGATGACAAGAGCCTGTTATACGTACTTTTAAACTTCATCAACACGCCAATGTTAACAGCTCTTTTTGCAGGAATCCTAAGCGTTGTGGTTATTGCGCTTGCTTCTCTTCCGTTTATATAAATCACATACAAATTGGTATCAAGAAGTAACGGCTGGAAAGCTCGTTATCAACAACATTGACATATTGCTGATGTACGTTCTTCCACGAGATTCAGTTACATTACATAAAATATATCTTTACAATGAACACAGTAATGAAATCATATTCATTCAGGTGTTATTGAAACTGACATTTCGGATCATTTTTCCATTTTTGTATTTTTTAAAGGTAAAAAATGGTTCATGAAAAAGATCTTTTGTGAGGAAGGTTCGAGCATATAGAAAGTCCAATGTCTGTCCATTTCAAGAAGATCTGTCAAAACTTAATTGGGAGCATTTATATAGATATGAAAATGTGAATGTAGCTTATGAGAAATGCTATGACGTGTTTGTAAATGTCTGTAATAAACGTGTAATGTGACTTTAAGCGATTCAAAGAAAGATCTACATCAACAAAGCCTTGGATATCAACAGGTATTGTTAAATCTATAAGGAAGAAGCATATTCTGTATACAAAATATAGGTCATCACATTTTTAAGAGGAGTATGGAAATGAATACCCAAAATATAGAAATATGTTGGTAACTACTATAAAGAATGCTTTAAAAAATGTATTGTTTCGATTACTTTAGCTCAAATAAAAGTAATATGAGTAAGACCTGGGGTATTATCAAGGAGTTTATTACTATAAATGATAAAAATAAGAAAACAGAGATTGAACAGTTAGTTATTTGTGATGAGGGAACGAATAACGTTGTGTCTTCACATGTGGGCGTTGAAATGAACTCAATGATTATTTTGTTTATTTGGGGTCAACATTAACAAAGAAGATTCCAACTGTTAATCTTGATTTTGAAAACTATTTAGCTAGTAGAATTTAAAAAAAAAAATTCTTTTGGAAAACCATAAAAAAGGAGGTTTTTGATAATCTAAATGCTCGGGATACAAAGAAATCCCATGGATATGACAAATGCCAGTACGATTAATCAAGGATGCAATACCCTATATCGTTGCGCCACTGACCTACATATTCAATTCATCATAAGAAAAGGGAGAGTTCCCATATGCATTGAAGACTCATTTATACAAAAAAAGGACCAAAGATCGACCTGGAAATTACAGGCCTTTTTCTGTTCTACCGGTCATTGCAAAAGTCTTTGAGAAATTAGCTAATGGTCGTCTAATGAATTTCTTAGAATCTAAACAAAAATTGTATATGAACATCAGTACGGTTTTCGAAAGCGGTATAGTACCAAGTTGTCATTGATAAACCTTGTAGAAACATTTCTTTTTTAAATCAATGGATCATGGTAAACCAACGCTAGGTATTTATATAGACTTTAAGAAAGCATTGGATACTATTGTTCATGACATCCTTTTAGGAAATTTAAAATATTATGGTATAGTATTACAATGGTTTCGAAGTTACCTTTAAAATCGATCTAAAATCTTATGCTATCAGGAAATAAGATCAAGTAGGTGAAGTTGTTGTTGTTGTTCGTTTGGTTTTATAATGGCTATTAGTCAAAATTGACTATTGTTGCCAATTTCATCGCATCTCTTTCTTTTAGTGTCTTGGTAAAATTATTATTTTTTCTTTCCTTTTCCAATCTCATTTTAATATAATATTAGTCATATTCCACAAAAAAAAATTAAAAACAAAAAAAATATTTCAAATTAAACCACGATCCGCACACAGTTCCAACTCACGCTGGCCCTGTCCTTTCTATGATGCCTTCTTACCAGCCCAGCGAGTTACGTTACGCCGTACGCTTCTCGGTTGATAAACTCAACCTAGGTCACTCTGGCATAGACAAAGGGGCGTCGTGTACCTGTATGTTTAGAGGGTTTATTTATTTATTAGGAGAAAAACAACTGCATAAGCAAAACACTTGTGGGCTTTATTAGTTTATATGAGTTAGTTCATGAGATTATTTATATAGTGCATGACTTTTAACTACTATAATCATTCAAAGGGGGGTGACATGCTTTCTTTTGTCACCCTGGCCAGCAGATTGTATCCTTCTCTCTCTCTCTCTCCTTTCCACTTATGGTGTCCCTAAATGTTCAGACCTCGGGCTCACTTTGTTTTTATTATATATTAATGATTCATCATCTTCTGCTAAATATTTAGAATATTTGCTGATGAATCAAATCTATTTCATACTTCTGATAAAAGACGAAATAGATATGATTTGAATGAAGTAAATATCAAATCTTTGGAAGTTCAACAAGGGTGTTTTGTTCACAAGTTGGCAATAAACTTAAAGGAATTAAATGACATGGTAGTTAAGGGACAAACGCAATCATGCGAAATTAGGGGTATATCAAAGCTCAGTGATAGATAGAGTCAGTGTTGCATCTTTCGTTACGTCGTTACGGTGGGAATTCAAATTGATGAAACCTTGATGTGAAAGGAGCAAATTCAGAAGATTAATAAGTGTATACGGAGGAAGATTGGACTACTTTGTACGCATACTCTTGTATAAATTATTTATCCAGCCGCACATACTTTATGGTATTACAGTTTGGAGAAGTTGTTGCTATAATGGTCATTTAAATGGCATACTATCGGCACAGAAAATGGCCTGCGTGTGATAACATTTTCCCTATTTAGAACAAGTTCAAGGCACTGTTCGTATGTCTACAGGTATTAGATGCGCATAATCTGTTCGAGCATTCAGTCTCAATACTTGTGTATGCCCTGCAGAAAGAAGATTTACCACATTCGTTTATGGATTACTTTGATTTAATTATTCACATGTTTAGAATAAGAGAGAGAGAACATTTAATGTTACGTTTACCAAAATGTAGTACGACACATGGGACTTCTTCAATTTTCTTTTATTGGAGCAAAGCTGTGGAAATAATTTGCCCATAAACATAAGAGAAGCAAACACAAGATCATAATTTCGTAAAAATCTCAGAATGAAACTCTGAAGCAGAGATGAATCATAAGGATCAAATAATATGATATTAAGCCGAAATAAAAGTTCCTGCCTAATTGTTCAGTGTGAATACATTTATTTTAATATGACTTTGCAAACAGATTGAGAAAATCGGAGAACCAATCCAAGGTAGGACTCGTGCTACCTTTTGGTTCTCCCTTTAACAATATTTTAAGTTTTTAAGTTTGAAATATCTTTTATTTGAATCAAATATACACTATTGGAACTCTGTGAAATTCAATTTCAGCCACACTTGTACGTATCTTTAAGGAATCCAACCAAATCTCTACGTATTAGAAAGTTTTGACTAGTTCACAGGTTTGATATGGCATGATATATGATTAATTTAATTTGTACATTATCGTTCAATTATGGATATTTTCTTTTTCTTTCTAACTCGACATCAACTGTCTAATTGTTGTTATTTTGAAACCTACTTGAATACATTTGTAACATTGTTGTTAATAAATTCAAATTCAATTCAACTGTCAACAAATTCAACCGTGCCTCTATATATCTAACTTGCAAACAATCCTGATTTTTTTTTCATCTTCAAACCACTTAGATATTGATGATTTTCTTTGAAGGTGTCACTGTGCAGCACCCTCTTACAATAAATTCTCCCAACCATTTTTTAATTTTCCTAACCGTTTTTCCATGAAAATAAGGCACTAATATTAAGACAGGCTTAAATGTCTCGAATGGTATACAGAGCTAACTCATTGCTTTGTGACGATTTACAATCACCTACAATTTAATTTAATTCTGAAAATATAGTTTGGAGGATAAAGAAATCGATCAGATCAGTTTTTCCCAATTTGTATCATTAATACTGGTCTGTTTTCACTGAAACTTTTAGATTATCTTAAATTGTATACCGAGCATTGATCTCACTACCTTAGCACAATTTTCTCTCATTTAAACAATGTTACCAAGTCCCTCAATTAAGAATGGCTTCAAAAATTATAATATTACGTTTTAATATATATGTACATTGTCGAATCATGATTGAAAACTTGATTTCAAATAATAAAAATGTCTTTCACTTTGTGTAAATTGGGATGATCGTGAATTTGTACAATCATTTTAAGTACTCGAATGCATTTGCCTCATTTTGGAGGAAAATTAGGAGAGAACGAACCGAGCTAATACCAATTAAATGATTGCTTAAAATTAGAAGTTTGTAATGACCATTAACCCAATAGTTCTTCAATACGTCATTTCACTATTTAGATTGTTTTCAATTAGTTTCTGCTCAGCCAGCCGAATAACAGTACTATACAAAGGCTTTATATAGAAAAACTGGCCTGAATAGTGAACAATTGAAAATCGTAGCTGCGAAAATATTTTCCCATCAGTTGAACAAAACACATGGAACCATAACAAATACGCTTGTGTCTAACTATGGTAATCGAATGTTGCTCATTCTACTGCATTTCGTTGTGGACAAGTTGAATAACGTATCGGCTGCTAAAATATTGTTTTTTTGCCAGGTAATACACAGGATGGATATACAAATACGCTCTGGTTTGATGTAAATACGTCAGAGCTTTATAATTGAATGTATTTCAATACATTTAGGTAAACGCGAAATCAAACAGGTTTAGTTGTAAGCCAGTGAATGACAATAAATTTTCCGTAAGGCTTGTTAAAATCTTGCTGTGTACTTAATTTCTCATTTCAATGGAAAGAGACAAAAACAATGCATATTTAATACAGGAGGCAGGTTACTACGAAAATAGTAACTAAAATTGAAACTATAAACATTATAAATTGAGAGTAAGGATTTAGTGTTCAAATGGATGTTTAAATGTTTAGACCTTTGGTATTCATATGGCTATAAACTACTAGTTTACATCAAGGAAAACGTTAGAGAAAAATTTTTAGATACAAATCACACTGACAAATGATAATGATCAATAACCATAAGTTATTTATGAAATATGGTTAAGTTTGACTTCAATTGAATGTATTTGAAGTATGTTATTAATTCAAACCTTGCAATCTTTTAAAAGGAACACAAATTTAACGTAGCTTTTATTTATATTTCTTATCTTTTTCTTAATGCTGATAAATCGTATCCAGTCAGCACGGCCGAGCCGGACTTTTGGGTTACAGAAAATAAGCTATCACTTTTAGCATGAATTATTAGTGAGTGTAATATAATTGCCAAGTTCAACAAATCGTAAAAATAGAGAGATTCAATTCATCTTTATTCAACGATATACAAGAAAATTGTACAATGCAATAAAACATATTGACATAATCATATACATGTATACAATTTACATATCGTTAGGGGCAACCAAAAAAGATCAGGATCTTGTGGACTGGTGCCCCTTTGAAAAAATTAACACATTATAAGTAAAACATTAATAGCAGACACATCCAACACACACACACACACACACACCCAAGAGAAGGGAAGGAGAAAGAGAGATTACATGTACAGTGTACATATATGAGGTAAACTTATAAAAAAGATATATGGAAATCAAGAAGTATATTTATGAATAAAGTGACTTTTAAGTAAGGCTTTGAAGGAGGAGGCTGTTGAACATGGACGAATGATTGTATTTAAATTATTAAAAATCTTCGGTCCAACATGTTTAAAAGAATTATACATTTGCGTATTAGAAGTTAATGGAAGGTGAAATTGGGAAGCTGAACGTGTGTAATACTGATGAAAATCATTATTATAGTTAAACAAATTAATTATATTGGCTGGGGCCATTTTATGTTTGACATAATACATCAGTACTGCGACTTTAAATTCATATATATGATAAATATTGAGTGTTTTTAATTCCAAAAAGAGGGGGCGAGATGGCGCTAAATAAGGTGACTTTGTACAGATGAGTAAGGCTTTTTTCTGCAGTTTATGAAATGGTTCTAATTTGCTTTTTCCAACGTTGGCCCAGGTAATGTTACAATAATGGATCAATATCATTAATAATATCATCATTGTCATCGTAAACAAAATCATCATGGGATATTTGGTTAGGTAAGTTACGGTAGTCAACAGGGTTAGTAGTAAATGTATTGAACAGTTTGTTAAGGTCTAAGTTAGAAAGAGAGGAGAAGGGAAATTGGAAATCACACATCATCAACAATCACACACTATCAACAGTCACACAAGAGAATTTACTTAAAACTACAATTAAGATTACAATACAGTATTATTTAAAATAAAATATGAAAGAAGATACAAAATCAATTTAAAATTAAGTGCACATGCAAAGCCTGCAGAAATTATTATGCTATCTGTTCATTTGATTTCATAGTCCAATTATAGCTCGCGTTCAAAAGTTATTCTGTTCAGATTACATAATATGAATAGTCACTGTCTAGCTAACACTTGTCGCTTGCACTTGTAACTTGTCTCGTGCCTAGAGTTTTGTGAGATCACTTTCAGACCTTATACGTGTCTTTTCTGTTCTGCCACCGGGTTTCTTTACGAGGACGATGACCCTTCCATCAATGGACCAAGCCGCCTCCAGATGCTGAATTGCTTCAACTGCTTTTTTGGCATGGTCAAGTAATGCCCGGTTCTGTGAGGTGAGATCTTCATCAATCCCCATTCGTGATCCCTTGAGTTTTCTGCGACTCTTTATAACATCTTGTCTCACATCATATTAAGTAAACTTCACTATAATGGCCCTCGGGCCAACCTGCCTGCCCCTAGATGGTGGACCCACTCTATGTGATCTATCTATTGCAGTTGGCCCAAGGTTAATGCCAAGCTTGGATTGTACTACATCTCTTATCTTTTGATTTGTGACTTCACCTTCAGATTCTTGGATCCCAAAAAATCGCAAACAATTCCTCCTTTGGTATTGTTCAGCATCATTTGCCTTCTCCTGAAGATTGACGATAGCAGAGTGGTCTGTTCGCTGTTGTTCACTCAAGCTGGTGATGACCTTTTCCTTTGCTTTGAGATCATTCTCGAGTTGAAGAATTTGCCCTTCCGCTGTTTCTAGCTGAACACGCAGATCATAGAGTTCTTTGCTTATGGCATCAGTGACTGTTGATTTAAGTAAATCAGCAAATTTGGCGCTGTTGAAAAAGGATCTTACTTCAGCTGCGATCGTGTCGGTTACGGGTTCATTGAAGGGGGTTGGCTGCTCTGTAGGATGCAGCATTGCAGAAGGTGTATTGTCATCCATGTCTTTATGCTTGCTTTCGGGTGTTGCACTAGAAAGCATATTCTCCCCAGTGGGTGAGTGCTGCCCTGCAGCAGGTAAGAGCTGATCTTCATGTATGCCAGAGGTTGATGAGGGGGTAAGTACATCCTTTGAGACATTCCGGATGGATTTTGGAGTTTTAGAGCTAGATTCTGTTTTCTTTCCTTTTCTCTCTCCTATCTTTGGTGAAAATTTGTTGGCTGGGGAACCTACATTCCCGTGATTTCTCCTTGACCGCCTGGACACTTGGTTTTCCTCTTGGATATCAGGCATGATGAGAGTTGAGATTGCTCTACTTCTAAATGTATGTCACAAAGGCAGCTAGTTAGCTGTACATGTCCAAGCTCTAACAAAAAATAATGTGTGTGGGACCGTGCTCAAATCATCCAGTTTCTTTGTAAAATGTGTCACAAATTCTCCTTCCAAGAAAGCAAAATGACTATCACAAGATTTCAGAATAATTGTATGCCACAGGTATTGATGTTTCCATTAGAATATATAGTCTAATATTACTAACTTACAATATATCAATACGATATCAATATTTCCTCAACCTGTACCTGTGGCAAATATACTACCCATTAGGGGGCACCAGTTCTACTCGGACAATAAAAAGCGATCGTATTTGTACAAGCTTACATATTTGGGGACGGTGCGAGAGGTGGTTCATTTCGTTTTCCTTTTCTCGTCATATTTCCATCTCCATTTCCCATTACCTCTTGTTGTTTTAATTTGTTGTTAATCTCTTTTCACCACTCGATTGGGCGAGGGGGTGGAATACCTTTATGATTTACAAACTCTTTGCTGTCCTTTAAATGATCTTTAATCGAGTCAAATACTAATGCCCTAATTCTTAAATCTTAGTTTTGCAAGTAACAATTGATGATTAGTGCAATAAACAGCTTTTTAAATATCCAAGTACAAACCAATAACAACAATATTTTAAGAGCATTCATCACCTGATCTAAAAGGTCATTTATTGCCAGCAAAGTTAAATCATCAGTTCAAATAAACGCCCATAAATGTTTGAAGGCAATGGTCGTACTTATATAGGACGGTTATCTACAAACTGGTCAATATGGCCCTTTTCAAGATTTTGGTGATACCTTTGCAAGTTAGAGACTTTGTGGAACTTGACCAGACTCAAACGATAACTTAAATATATATTTCAAAGGTAATATCAATAAATCTGTATTCTGTTTCACAATGGTAGTACTGATACTATCCTGACCTAGGCTTTTTTTGGTTTTATGATTCTGACTTTTTCTATAATTTCTTATTCTTCTATGGGTTTTAAAAACCTAGACTGAAAAATGACCTTTTAAGTAATTCAAACCTTAAGTCAGATTAATATTCAATGTATCCGAAGTCTTGGCTCCAATACTTACAAAGTATTGATTATATTGATTTGCTCTTTTATTGGAATCTGTAATAACGCAATTTGAATTTTCTACAAAACTGGATGAGAATTTTAATTGTTTAGTTCGTCTCAAAACTTCATTAATACTTAATAGCACCTGAAAGTTTTGTACAATCCTTTTTACTACCATTTATTGTCTTAGTATAATAATTTATTTCGCAGTTGGAATCGTGTTTTAGGAATATTCCTATTCTGTTAATAATTTGTATGTTTAAGTTCCATACGTTTTTTTCAGATTGTTTGTATACAAGCATATATTTTCTTCATGATTTCAGAATGCCACAATTTGTTTAGTGTTTCCTTTTGTGCTTATGTGTTTTCCTTTTGAGAAATGGAAAATAATTTTCCAAAATATCTTTCAAAATCAGTAGAAATCTATCATATGCGATATCAGATACACTACATTATAAACCTCTGTCCCATGATACATTACTGCTGCAATTTAAAATGTTATATAATTGTTTTCCGACATGTCATAAATATAAGTGTATTTTGGGAAGATAAGTAACATGGTTTTCTAGATGCATTTGTAATAACGAAAATAGGTAAGCCATCATGATTATATCTGAAATAAATATACCACTCTTTACAATCCAGTCCTTATCACTCGTTAAAAAATACAATCTATCAAAGTAGCACAAGACCGCACTATTCTATTGGGTTTCAAATGATAGGAAAAACAAACATTCGTCGTTTCTTAAAATATATTTACATTTCAAATTTCTTTTTAAATCTAGTGAATTCAGGTTAAAATCTCCGGGAACATGATTTAGTTTGTTTTCATTCATTCAAGTTTTCAGATCAGGGATAAAACATTGATCAATTCGGTTTGGTGGTTTGTACACAACAACAATAATGATTTTGTATTACCCTTTTGTAATATTTCATAATAATGAAACTCTATATTATCATTAAATACATTTATAGCGATTTTTTTTAACGTATTTTTTTTTTTTAAACGTATTATTAATGAAAAGACCAACTTCACCACCACGACTCTCTCTGTTTATGCCATGGAATGTGACATTAGGAAATGTTTCCAAGGAATTTAGGTCACGCGTTAACCATGCTCCACTTAAAGCAATAACATCAAATTCAATGTTCAATATATAAACTTAAGGTACACAGATATAGCTTCATGGTTCCTTTTCAAGCTTCTACTATTCATATGAGCAAATACAATATTTCTGGAATTTCGAACATTAACGATCATATTATTGAAATTTTCAGGGGGAAAGAACAATGTTTCTGTATCACACACTCCACCTAATTTGTTATCAACTGTTACATATGATTGAGTATTCGATACACTCTTATTGAAGTTTTTTCCAAATTATCAGCTATCACAAAATAATTCAATAAAGACATGCAGGCAAATTATTTTAAAGACATATACAAACAAATTCTTTTAAAAAAGAAATGAACAAATAATAGTTCAATATATCCCTTCAAAATGCAGGTAAAATATTAAAAATATATCATGGAGACTTGGTGCAGTGAACGATTATTGTAAGTTTGCATTAACCAGGTAAGATAATTCAGTTACATTGTTTTATAGTACACATCAAGGTTTTAACGCAATTTTTTTTCAAATCTTCTTTGCAGTGGATGAGTTTCCTGTTTGGGGTCTCGGTTTTGTTTGGGGCCGATACAAAGAAGTCATCCATCGTAAGATCATGTGCTTTGTACTCTACCTATAATTTACAACTATATCAATCGCAACTATGGCGTACATAAGAAAAAGGAAACTGCAAACTTGCGATTGATTAGAAGACTTGCGATTACACTTGATAAGAAGGGGCCTTGTTCTATATCCGTTAGTGGTCTTGTCAGTCTAACTCTGCTAAAAAATGTGATTTCGATCGATTGGGACTCTGATAAGCTCCTCCTTGCTTTTGTCATACACAATAGTTTCCTTCCCACCTAATGAAAATATGAGTGAGTGCAAATCCCCGGTTCTTGAATGAGTAATATAGTTGGGATAACAATACAAAGCGTGCAAGAGGAACATATTGTATCTCATTTCACCCATAGGTTTCAACATAGGTAAGTTGCCTAGGTAGTTATTTATGTATAAAAAAACATGTATACGGTCTATACAGGGGAAATTGCGATAAAGCCAGTTGCTCATGTATTTACAGTCTAGTAGGCAAGACCATTTGCACTCACCACTGCTAACAGCTCCTTCCGGATATCATTCGGGTCCTTCCGGAGCACCATGAAACAGATTACTATACGTTGCTCAATGACATCCATTGATATACCTCATTTTTAAAGGTCCCGGGTACTCCGTTTTGAACGGATGCTGAAATAACTAAGGAGGTGCTGCTGAGCTTAAATCTTCTCACTTGTAATGGAAACGATGAAATATTTACAAGATATAATTACGTCACGGTATAGCTGTTCCATCAGGGTCGGGCTATGAAATTATTGAAGGCCAATCATAGTTGTAGACGGATCGAAATTATATAATATTTGATTTCTTGAAACAAAAATTTGGTATCCATCTTTACTAAAGGGTAAACACAGCCTAACATAAGTAGGGACTTTTAGATTTGCACGTCGACAGCTTTGACTGCAACGTGTGACGTCATTTTAAGGCACTGCGCATGCGTTACGTCGTCTCAGTCGGCGATCGAGAATGCGTCAACCTTGATTTTCCTAAATCTAGTACATACATACATATTGATATTTATATAGCGCCTTTACATGCTCAAGGTACTAGTATGCCGCGTGCGCATAAAATATACAGTTCCTCATGTAAACAAAGGAACATCCCTTCCCTGCTATTATGTAAAAATGTGTAGAACAGGTGTCACATGCATATTCACCTGTTAAACACATTTTTACATAATAGCAGTGAAGGGATGTTCTTTTGTTGAGGGTAGAATGAGGAACTGTATATTTTGTCCTCTTTCTTTGTCCGTGATGTTCATAG